CTGTTTCGTGGAAAGTTTAATGACGAACGGGCCAAGCATTGTCAATACGTAGGCTGCGAAAGGCACCAAAGTATTGTAGGATACCTTCGATACGTATATGAACGCCCACAAGAGTTAAGCTTCGCAGATGCGAAAAGGATGTAGCCGCAAGTAGTTCGAAATCATGCTCGGCACTGGCAGCTTCTTTTTCGAGCAAGAGGCTGAAAGGTCGTAAATTTGGAAACTTGAAATGCTGCAAGAATGAAATTATTGTGCACTTGGAACGTGATCTGTCTTCAAGCTTGGCGACCACTCTTTGGGAAAACGCAAGGACGAGGGAGTCAGAAGCAGAGTATTCCAAAAGGTGCCAGTCCTGATCAATGCCATACTGGATGTCCATAATGACAAGAGAAGTGAAATGTGAGATGAAATTACTTCACGTAAGGCTAGCGTGGATAGGTGAGCGCTGAGACGAAGATTTGAGATTTGCTCCCACGAAAGCACAAGCTAAGTCAAAAGGGGGTCATCAATGGCTATACTCGACTTCGGGGATAGGATGACCAGGGTGCGTAACTTGAAGAGTGCTGAAAAGGCTAGAATAGAAGGAGACCCTCATTATGAGGGTATGCTCTACATGACAAACGGTCTTCCCGTGGCGAAGAATGTGAGCCCGGAAGCGCATAGCAGTTCTTGGAGGGCGGGAAAGGAGTCCATCGAGAGCTCGGAGAGAGGCGTAAGATGACAGACGTCATGAAGAGACGTGGTTGCAAAATGTTTGTGCTAGCGCCAGACGAACAAAGTAAAAATGATTTACCGTGCCCTGGCCGTCTGCAAATATTGGTATAACTCTGTGTGGCGGTATCGATTGAAACATCACTTCGGGAACCTGTACGAGTGAGCCAGGCATAGAGAAGATCGCTGCCAGCCCGTCGACAGCGGTTTATGGTGATGTCAGTTCTCCAAAGTCGTGGTATAGAAAGTGTGACGCAACGCCTGGCAAGAAATAGCATCCAGTGCCTGGAACACTTCAGTACAAAAGATGTTTAATGAACTTACCAGCGAGAACAAACATGCGAGAGAATAACAATGCGCGGTTATGTCGTGCGCTTCTGCCTTCTAACGCAAAGACAACAATAAATATTTCTCCAAGCAAGTCGTCCGGAAAGCAGCGTAGAGGAGATAGAGCAACGCGAAGAGAACAAAGATCAGCCTCCTCAAGTGAACAACGTCGAGTCAAGAGATCGAGGTTTGCTTCAATCCTGGGTATTTCAAACTCTTTCAATGTGAAACTTTGTGAGGTTAATTGTTTCCATCGGAGATGGCAGGTGATTGGTCAAGTGAAGTAGTTCGTTGAATTTGGGATCTCTGTTACTGTAAAATAATATCAGTCGAGATCACGCCATGAAAAGTGCAGTCAAATTGGGAGACATACAGAACGTCCAAGGGGTCAACGTTTTCAACCATAGGACTTAGAGCAGAAAGGACACTCGCCGCTTGCGCGCAGAGTTCGCAAGCTGAATGTGCTTCATTTTGGGAACGGTGGTGATCACGGTCACCCACATCTGTCCCACAAAAGTTGAAGACGAGGCGACAGTGTTAAGATAGTGAATGATACGCACCAAGACTTACGCTCCAGGTCGCCAATTCAAGACGTTGGTCTGGCGAGAAACTTCAAACAAGCCTTTGTAGTCACTGCCGTCGCGCAACTTGAAATCATTAAGTTTCTTTAAAATCACAGTAACAAAATAGTATGAAGAAAACCGACATGAAGAAAGACAGAAGAAAGAAAGACGCGTCGCATATCATGCTCAATATTCAATATTCAATACTGATCGCCGTGTCGCGGCCATCACACTCTATCATCGATGTCATCCATGGCGCCCTCACTGACCGTTGTCCGTGTCTTCGAAGTCGTAGCCATCGAGATCATCGAATACGTCGTTTGTAAATTGACTGCCATGGAGAGGAAGCGATAAACTCATTGCTCAAACGACATCGGATGGGGAAAACGCGACGAAGAAATGACGAACGGCTCACCGACTTAGAGAAGGTGACTCTCGTCGACCCGCCCAGTCAGAGATCGCAGCAGCGGGGCTCAGGCTGATAGCACCGCGACCTTATAAAACTCATTGTTCATGGTATTACAGAAAGTATGTATATTCTACTAAAATCTATGGTACGATACGATGCGCGTGCTCCGGGCTCGTGTGAATTAGTGCTTCCTTGATTATAACGGGGGTAAACAAGTCAATTTGTGAGTGATGGTCCAGCGAATCAGTCCAACAAAAAAAAAAGATCAGAAAATGCAAGAATGTGAGAATCCACAGGATCGACGTGAAACGACATGGGAAATGAATGATGAAAATGGACAATCCTGTCATCGCCATGGGAAGTGCATAACAAACATAACGCGTCGATATGACGAAGAAAAAAAAAAAATAAGCCTGAGAATGGCACGCAGCTCTCGACGCATATTTACGACATATTAACAGCCTGCAGCGATCGCCGCGCTCCACGCAGTGCGCCAGAATGCAGGCAAGCTGTCCGAAGCGACGATCTGCGCGGCGATGTACGCTTTGTCCCGTGGAGACGTCGACAAATCATCATCGCCTTCTACATCCGCTTGCTCGTCTGCGTCTTCAGTAGACGCATCTCTAGAACGGCCGTCGTAAAGCTCCGACGGCGCGTCCGTCTCGTCTGACGAGGGATACACCATACATGTGCGTCCTCGCTCGACGCGGGTGTATACTGTGCACGATGGCGCACGGGACCTCGAGCGCGACTGGCGGCCGCGAACACCAGAACGATTTCCGCGAGCTTTCCTCCGCCGGCCTGCATCACGCGCATCGTGGTCTGCCGCATGCGCGTACTCATCCAAGATCAGTGCAACATACGCAGTGAGGATTGGGAGCAGCATCGACGCCCACGCCTCTGTCTTCACATCCCTGACAAAATCTCCCTTCAGTGCCTTCACACAAGGAGGCGGAGCGACGAGCGTTGCATCGGACGAAGTTGACGGGCGGGGCCAATACGAGGTAGACAAGCGCGACGAAGACGACTCTGGCGGCGGCGATGGATACGGCGCATGAAGGAAGGACGTCGATTTAGAGGGTGGATCGACCTTCGTGTCCGAATGTGTAGTATTCGACGTCACACACACTGTAGCAGGCGCACACACAAGCACACGCACGGCGTCCCCGCCTTGGCGCGCGGGGAATGGTAGCGCGAGCGCGAGAAAGTCTGCGCACATACCAAGCTGCGCCGCATCGGGAGGCTCAACGATGCACTGTGATTTGCCCTCGTCTTCACTGCCACCTGCCACGTCCTCATTGCCTTTGCATGGCACGCCAACCTCAAGCACATGCACACCTTCCGCATCGCGCGCGCATTGTACAGTACGCAGGCGAGCGGGCACGATGTGAATGATATGGGTGTAACACGGCTCTGTGCCAGCGGGCGTCAAAAAGCGCGCGCTGACAAGACTTACAGATGGCGAGGGAGACAGCAATGAGATCGCAGAAGTGGGACTACCAGAAGATGTGTAAAGCGCGATATGTGTGTAGGGCATGACCTGGTGCAGGTGGTGCAATACCAGCGTGACCTGCCTAGGTGCGCGCAGAGCGGGTAGCTTGACATCGCTAGTATATGCAGAGCTTTGTCGCCGCCGCTTTGGTGCGCACGAAAGCGGGCGAGGAGGTGGCGGTGACGTCGTGCGTACGCACTGTTGTGCGGACACGGTATCCACTACAGTTGATGGTTGTCGTACCAGGTAGGGCGTGAGATCATTTGTACGCCGACGCAATCTGTCGGACGAGCGGCGGGAAAACAGGTCGGATGGCCGGCGGCGCCGCTCGGGGTGCGGCGAGTCTTGACACTGAGATGTTGACCACTGGTCGCGCTCTGATGTCGAACATGGTCCACACCCTGGCTGCCGCCGTGCACTAGTGCGACGAACACGAGAAATTAGACGGAAAAGGCCCTGCTTGGGGGTTGGAGGAACGGGATTCGTCGGCCGTGTGGGAATAGGTGGTGCTGGAACATGCGGCGCAGCACGTCTGCGGCTATCGGAGCGAGCAATCTTTGCACTCGATTGGAGCAGGCTGGGGAGGCTTTTATTTGAAAAGCCATACATTCGACGGCGCGGGTCCTCCACACGTCTGGCTGCGGTTTCATTAGTCGTTGCTACCGGCTCTGCATCTGCGCTGGCAGATGATGGGCCGCCAAATTCGTACGAGAGGTCGACCTTCAAGGGCGGCACGAGTAGCACAGGCTCAGTGCTCTCTTCATGACGACGCGAAAAGATTTTGTGCAGGCTCTTGTTCGACAGACTATACAATTTACCACGGATTGTAAGCTTGCTCGTCGACGTGGTTGGCATCAGTCGCGGAGCCCGCTGTACAGAGGGATGCAGCTCGAGGTCGTCATCATCGTTTCTTCGGTGCTCATGCGCTGTATGTGTTGGGATCGCTGGTACAGGCGGCACATCCTCGGCGTCTGTGGCGCGCGGTGTCTTGCGGAGTAACGAGTGCAGGCTTTTATTCGATAATGAGTAAAGAACATTTGAGAATAGTGGCATCGTGAATTCGTATCTCAAAAAAAAAAAATTGCTTTCCACGTATCAATGAGAGTGAAACGTTTATACTAGGATAGCACTGGGCTACTGCATTTTATTTAGCATGAGCCCATGAAGGAGTACGAAAACACTCACCAACAGTAGGCTTTGAGGTCGGTCGCAGACCAACAGATGAAAGTCGGAAGAGAGCAAGGTTCAGTCCTTTTATCAGCGAGTTGGCTCGGCCACCGCGAGAACAATTGCTCAGAATAGTAGGTTATTGTTCTCCAAATGCACTCCACGTGATCGAGCCACACCATTCTGGAAGCCCCATTGAGCACTCTTTTGTGGCAAAACCTTATCTGATGCCAATGCGTGGCCGAGGAAGAATCTTGTCAAAAGCGTTATGCAGGCTGTCACGAAACAACCCTAGTGGTTACAATGAAAACTTTAACCAATTGATTCCCATAGCCCACCGCGAGGGTCGAACTCGCAGCCTTCAGATCACCCACCCAGTCATATTAAGAGTCTGACGCTCTATCCGATTGAGCTAGGCGGGCTTGAGAACACCAGGAATGTTGGCCATAAGATAACATTTGTCTCATCTGGGCGAAAATAGGTGAGATCAGATAAACAAAGTTATGTACTCTGTTTCCACTAACAGTGGCAGATCTTTTGTGTCAAAAAAAGCAAATTTCCTATTGTAGAACACAGGATCCGGAAGAGCTCGGCAATCTGCAATCAAAATTCACTCATACGTAGTGAGGGTGGCAAAATTGTTTTTGATTCATTCTGCCGGGCAGAATGGCAGAACGGCAATTGCCGGGTCCTGGCAATATGGCAAACCTGGCAGAATTTGTCATACAAAAACAGGTTAAGTAGAATATTTTAAGGACAAAAACATGTAAATATCTATGTACCAATCCCTTGCGAAGCCATAATTGAGTCGATATTCCATCTGCCGCCCGTCTATGGCGGTCCCCCCTGGACAAAATTCAGGGGGCTTTACTTTGATCCTGTTAACGGTGTTAGTTTTGATTTTGATCGCTGTGACACGACGTGATCCACCGTGATTATAGTCGTGGTTTAACTTTGGGGCTGTTTTTGATCAATAACAGTGAAGTTGAGCTTTCAAATAAATGAGTTTAACTTTGCCTGGGACCCCCGTTATGATGGTCACACACGAAAGTAATTACACGGATCATGAAATCTAAGCTCTTTGTAGCCAAATCAATTCCCCAGCGTTGCTAAGTTAAAACAATTACGCCGCTTAGTTCACAGCCTCAGATCAATTCCGATGATCCAGACCCTAACTCAAATTCTAACCCTAACTCCAACCCTGACCCCAACACCTAACTCTGACCCTAACATCTAACTGACCCTAACACCTAACTGACCCAAACAGGTAACTCTGACTATAGACTGCGTAAAATACCATGAAATTTTCGGTATGTCAACAGAATTTATGGCAATATCAGTACTGAAAGGTGACTCATGTGTCATGGAACGATCGATCAAAGTTAATTCCGACTTGTGATCAGCGTGATCTCGCTTAATGCTGTGGTTTAGCTTTGCTGATGTGGAAAATAGCTTTCATGATAAATAACATTACTTTTGATCCGTGGGGTTTTGGTTCCCTTCCATCATGTCACAATCATGATCGGCACCAAAGTAATTCTTCTATCACGCAAAGTCAACCCCCCTGAATTTTGTCCAGCAGGGACCACCAAACCCGTCGCAGACCCGATAATGTTAACCTCTTCCATGTCCGTGGAAGGGACAATACCCTGATCAACTTTTTGATGCTATGTTGACTTTTTCTTCCTGCACAAAGTTGTCGGTAACAAAGAGAGGCTGCTTGTGACCAGCCCCAGACATGGTAAAGTGAAGATATTGTATGGGATTTGTTGTTCAACACATTTTACATACCCCAAACTAGGTATATGGTTCGATCTTTTTGCCATTTCTGCCGCTCGAGTACCTTCTACCTCGACATTTCGCCTGGCAATTGCCATTCTGTCATTCTGCTGGGCAAAACGGCAGGATTCTGCCACCATCTTTACTCATAAGCGATGCACACTTCCGGGTGCATCATATAATGAATCATAAGTCTGGCTTCAAGTTCACTTCAATCATATGGATCTGAACGCACAGTTATATATGGACGTCTGAAGGCTTGTATGGCGGTCCTTGTTGGACAAAATCCAAAATGGACTGATTCTGTTGCTCACCGATCCCATTAATCGGTTAATGCGGCTGAAATCTGATGGTCACCGATCGTCATAACGGTTATTGTCAGCGGAAGCAGAAAGTGATGCTTTGATCTCCACCGATGGAAGGCATCAGTGGAATTAACGGTATCACGATGTCATCGTGATATTAATGATCGTTAAAATAATTAACTGACCTGTCAGTGAACCACTGAATAAATCCACTGGCTGTTCTAAAACATCAAAATAAATTGGAAAAATATAACGGTTATAAAAATTAATGCAAACTGTGAGTTTTCATTCCATTGGTGTAATTACAAATTACAAATAATGGTCCACCGACTACCAAGTCGGATCGGGTTTGGAACCAGAGTTCCGATGACAGGTTGGATCGACACAGTGATGTGCGATCAAATAGCATTGGCGGGAAGCTGAATTTCGCCGTTGATCAACCGATCGGCGAACTACCCCACATCGGGTTGCCATGTCTGGGCCATTCATCAATGAAAATAAGATTTTTATAGTACTTTACTGTAATGCATAAATGTATCACACACTGTGACATTTCTTTGTGGTTGAAATGTGACACCATAAAATATATTACAATATTTCTATTGTATGCAAAGAAATAACATTATCTTCAGTGCAGACATTTTTGCAAGACACAAATAATTACAAAAAAATATAAACATTTGTTCTGCAAAAAATAAATAACATATTGCTATTAACATTTCTGTAAGCTAAATATCTACAAAGTGGGAAAAACCAAATAAACACCTTCAGCTTCACCTTGTGAGTTCGAAGAGAGTGAGCCTGAAGATGGACAGCCGAGAGATGAACAGTCGAGAGACGAACAGTCGAGAGACGAACAGTCGAGAGACGAACAGTCGAACAGTCGAGAGACGAACAGTCGAGAGACGAACAGTCGAGAGACGAACAGTCGACTGGACAATGGAGGGATGAACAGTTGACTGAACAGTTGACTGGACAGTTGACACATGGACAGTCAGCTGAAAAGTTGACAGAGGAACAGCCAACAGAGGGACAGCTGACAGACAAATAGTGGACAGATCAATAGTGGACAGATCAATAGTGGACAGACCAATAGTGGACAGACCAATAGTTGACAGACCAATATAGTCGACAGACCAATAGTTGATAGACCAATAGTCGACAGACCAATAGTCGACAGACCAATAGTCAACAGACCAATAGTCAACAGACCAATAGTCGACAAACAAATAGTGGACAGGCAAATAGTGGACAGACAAATAGTTGACAAACAAATAGACGACAGACAAATAGTTGACACACATATAGTTAATATGCAAATAGTCAACTATTTGCATGTCAACTATATGTGTGTCAGCTACTATTTGTCTGTCAACTATTTGTCTGTTGACTATTTGTCTGTTGACTATTTGTCTGTTGACTATTTGTTTGTCGACTATTTGTCTGTCCACTATTTGTCTGTCCACTATTTGTTTGTCGACTATTGGTCTGTGTCGGAATACTATGATGCAAGCTCACCACATCATTATGATCATGTCAAGTATTGCCAAGAATACCAGAATTGTATATATATTAGTCGAGTAGATACTTTGTGTGCAACGTAGCACAGGTGCGGGACTAGATAACACAGTGAGCGTAAGTGTAACGACCTCAGTGAAAAGAAAGCACTATTATATTTATGTACCTAGATAACGCAGTGAGCGTAAGTGTAACGCTAGGTACAGTAAGTATGAGTGTGGACAGTAAATTAAATGAGTACTTACACCTCAGTGAAAAGAAAGCACTGAGGTGAATGAAATGGTGAGACGGCGGGATATAGCCCACAGTGAGTCATGATACCAAAAACGGAATAATTCCTAATATAGTAGCACAGTAGGATTGTATGTCTCACACTCCTCCTCAAGATGACATGCAGGGAAGAACACCAAGAAAGCTACGGAAATACTCGAACTTAACATGAGGAAGGGATTTTGTAAATATGTCAGCCACTATAGACTCGGTGGGGATATGAATAAGGGTAATGACATTGGTAGAAATGGCCTCTCGAATGAAATGTACCTTTATATCAATGTGTTTGGAGCGTGCATGAAAGATCGGGTCAGTAGCCGAGATAATGGCACTTTGATTGTCATAGAAGAAATCAGAAGCAAGATGAGAATCATGTGAAGGGAAAATGTGCGGGAATTCGGAGCAGAGACGGCGGAGCCATATGGCTTCCTTCGCACCTTCAGTTAGGCTGACATACTTGGCCTCGGAACTCGACAGTGTGACGATCGGTTGCTTCTTTGACATGTAAGAGACAACACCGTTGCCGACGAAGAATGCGTGGTCCGAAATAGAGTGACGGTGTGATTGCGAGGCCCAGTCGGCGTCCGAATAGCCGAAAATTGGCATCGGGTGCCCGCCAAGAACGAGTGTGTAGTCGCGCGTGGCTTTCAAATAACAGAGTATCCGCTTGACGGCTTTGAAATGGGTAGTGTGCGGGTGCTCAACATAGCGTGCAAGGGTCGAGGTTGCAAATGCGATGTCTGGGCGAGTCATTCACGTGGCATATAGGATGGTGCCAATCACTTCACGGTAGAGCGCCTTCTCACGGTCGTCGAGAAGTGTTGGTGATAACGTCGGTGAATCATAAGAATAATCGGCGCCGTGCTCCATTGGTGTGGCAATGGGGTTTGCATTTTCGAGCCCCATGCGGTGGATAGCAATATCAATATAAGAGGCTTGCGATAAAGAAATTGTGTGAGCGGCTAGGTCACGCTCTATGCGGACACCGAGTAGCCAACCGATCGGGCCAAGATCGGTGACTTCGAAATGCCGTCCGATCGCCATCTTGATCGTGGCGGCGGTTTGATCGGAGTCCGCGATTATGGTGCAGTCATCCATCGCGACGGCAATAATGCCATACTCGCTCGGTTTGTTGTTGTCAATGAAAAATACGGCTTCGTCAGCATTTGAGGCTTTGTACCCAATGTCGTCAGTCATTGTTGAACTGAATTTTCGCCACCATTCATTCCCCCCCTGCTTGGTGCCATAAAGGGGACATTTGAGATGTGCAACAAGTGTGGTGCCAGCCTTGTGGAGCGCACGCTGAGAGACGTTGATCGGGGCTAGCGGGAACCTCTGAAAGGCCACACAACCAAAACTACGCCTCGCGAGTGCGTGGGGGCGCGCCTGTTGGACGATACGGACGAAGGATAAGATAAAACGATGTAAAAGATTGATATATGGCCTATAGTTGTAAGGCTAAAACTAAAAGATCGAATTCGCTCCCCCCCCCCTCCTCCAATATACTGATAGCCTCCTATATATATGTCCGCGAAGCCTTGTAAGTACTC